TTTTGGTATTTTCACGCAAATTCTTCTGCTAGTTGGGGTTTAGTCCAAATCTGCATCCTTTCCTTCAAGGCTCAGGGGTCCAAAATTATCTTCTGTGTCTGTGTTAATTGGTTTCCCTTTTCTTTGTTGAAGAGGGTCTGTGCAATCCTTCTGCCTAGTCCGCCATCTTGCCCCACCTAATATATTGCCTATTAAAAATCAAAATTTTATGAAAGGTCTAAAGAAAAGTATTTTCTTTCTTTTTTTTCCTTATCAGTAAGCTGAAAAAGCTGAGTGAAGATAGTTTGACTAAACAGCCTGAAGAAGTTTTTGATGTGTTAGAGAAGCTTGGAGAAGGGTAAGTGCAAAATATATGAAAGTAATATTCAGATAATGACAAAACAATTTAAAAAAATACCAGTCTTTGAATTAGAGTACACTTGCTTGAATTGAATAATGCCTTATCTTTATGCCAGTATTCTGTGCTTTCTAGTCGTTTGCCAACCACTCCTTCCCTGTGGAAATATTTTCCTAAGTGCCACTCTGTCAGGTTTTTTTTTTTTTTTTACATGTTACTGAAAAAAAAAGAAAGGATAGCATGTTTATAAAAATACCTCCCAGATAGAGGGAACGGTTGGCAAAGGAACATAAATGGTGTGTGTTGTTTCTGTGAAAGTATGGTAATAGCAATTACAGTTAAGGTTGTCTGTCAGTCAGTGTGGTAGATCTTGTCATAGTGTTTCTCAGAGAAGTATTCCACATTGGTAAGAAGAAAGCAGGAGATACTCTGTACAGTGATTGCCAAGAGCCTTATAATTAGTTCATACCATATGGCATTCTTACATGTTGATAAGAATTTATAAATTTGAAAGATTTTAACTTTGTTAGGTAAGTGGCCATAAGTTCATATTAAACATCTTTCAGAACCTTGGACCTCATTTTATTTTTTGGTAGGTAGAGATACAGTGTCTCAGTGGGGAAAAGAGAATGTTTTAGCAGAGGAATAGTTAATGTGCTTTCAGTGTGATAGTAGAGAAGTATCTCATTTTGAGCCCAGGGAATGGGCAGGAGCATTTAATAGAATGGCCAACGGTATCAGAACTTCCAAAATCAGAAAAGATACAGTCAGTCCTCATTATTCGTGGAGGCCACATTTACGTACGCTACTCACTTCTTTGCTAAAATTTGTTTTAACCACCAAATCAATGCTTGGGCGCTTTCACAGTCATTCTTGGACAGACTTAGAACAGTGAAAAAGTTGATTTGCTGATATGCATGTTCCCAGTGGAGGTTGAACAAATCTTCACCAATTCATTGTGGTGACTTTATAGAACACAACTACTGCTAATAATGAGAATTGACTGTGCAGAGCAGACAAAATCAGTCAGAACGAGGAAAAGGAAACAGAGAAAACAAAAATGTAAAATAAAAAGCTGAATGTAAGATGGAAGGAATAAAATCAAGCATATTTTCCACTAAATGTCAGTTCTTCCATTAAAAGACAAAGTTTTAGATTGGATTAAAATGCATAATTTAACTATATGCTATTTATAAGATGTTGTTGTTATGTGCTGTCGGGTCAGACCTTACTCGTAGCGACCCCTCCTTGGGTTTCTGAGGCCATATCACTGTGGAAGTAGATTGCCCAAGTTTCCTTCTGAGGAGTGGCTGGTGGGTTTGAACTGCCAGCCTTCTGGTTAGCAGTCAAGTGCCTTAGGCACTATGCTACCATGCCTTGGAAACCCAAGGAGGGGGTCACTGTGAGTCAAAATTGACTCGATGGCAGTAAGTTAACAATAGACCATAGCAACATAAAATAGGTAGAGGGAAATAATGAAGGAAAAAGCTAAATGTTACTTGATAACTAATTTGAAAATCCAGAGGAAGTAGATGATTTCCTACTAAAACATAAATTACATGAATTGACCTCAAAAGAAGTTAAAACTTAGATCACTTATCACAGAGATGGAAGTGATTAAATAGGTACCAATTAAAAAGGAGCTCTGGTAGTGTAGTGCCTAAGGCACTTGACTGCTAACCAGAAGCTGGTGGTTCAAACCCACCAGCCACTCCTTGGAAGGAAGAGGGGGCAGTCTACTTCTGTAGTGATGTAGTAATACTGCCTCAGAAACCCAAGGAGGGGTTGCTATGAGTCGGGCCAACTTGACGGCCCATAACAACAATTAAAAAGGTATAAGCTCATAGCAGCACCGTTCACAATAGATAAAAGGAGAAAATAACCCAGATGCTCATCAGCTGATGAAGGGAACAACAAAATGTGATGTATTTGTACAATTTGTTGTTGTTGTTGTTATGTGCCGTCGAGTCAAACCCAACTCATAGCGACCCCTCCTTGGGTTTCCGAGGCAGTATCACTACGGAAGTAGGATTGCCCAACCTTCCTTCCGAGGAGTGGCTGGTGGGTTTGAACTGCCAGCCGTCTGGTTAGCAGGCAAGTGTCTTAGCCACTATGCTACCAGAGCTCCCATTTGTACAATGGGTATTACTAAAAAGAAATGAAGTACTGATATATATTATAATGTGTATGAACCTTGGAAACATGCTAAGAGAAAGAAGCCAGAGACAAAAGGTAATCTATTGTATGATATAACTCATGTATATGAAATATTCAGCATAAGTAAGGCCATAATGACAGAAGCAAATTGGTGGTTGCCAGGGGCTAGGAAGAGGGAAGAATGGGGAGTGACTGACAGATGGTTATAAGGTTTGTTTTGGGGTGATGAAGATCCTTTGGAACTAAATGGTGGTGATAGTTGCACAATATTGTGAGTGTATTAAATGGCACTGAATGTTGTACTTGAAAATGATTAATTTTATGTTATGTGTACCTTATAATTTTTTTTTTTAAAAGAAACCAACTGGACTTGCAGTTGAGTTTTATTCAGTCTTTAAAGCACAAATAATTGCATATTATTTTTATTAAGCCAATATGACTTCAGTATCAAAACCTAGATATAAAAAACCAGAAAACTGTAATTCAGCCTTACTTTGTTACTCGTTATGGTAACCATTGCTGCCTTGCGTCAGGTGGCTGGACGTTGCCACATGTCTTCCTTGTTCTGGATTCCATCAACTGTGAATTCAGGAATCTGTATCTGTGTTGGCATCTCTTGTTACAGTCCCTGACTTGCACCCCAGAGCTGATTCTTCCCTCCCCTTAGTGAAGCGGATCTTTTCTGTACCCGGTTAAGAACACAGTTAGTGGATGGGTGTGCAAGTCACATAGAATATATCCATTCTCGCATTTCATCTCCTTGAACCTTTGATCTCCTTCCTTTAATGTGCACTGAAGATTGCCTGGCATTCATTTTAATGTAGATTATTGTTGATACCAGCCTTCAGCTAAGAAGCCAAGCAGGTTGTTAGGGCCACTCCCAGATGTTTGAGCTAACATGCTAAGTTTGGAATTTCAGGTCTTTGCATCCATATCAGTAAATTCCTTCTTCCCTAGAATCCTTGGAATCTATTCCCATACATATTCTTTACAATTCTGCTGATACAAACTGACAGAATCTTACATCTTTTTGGTATGAATAGAGGTGCTCATGGGTCAGACTTTATACTTTTCCCTTAGGTGTCTGCAAGGATATGAGTGTCATTGTGGTCTGGAAACAATGAGAAGTGGTGGGATGGTCTGGAAGAGAATCTACATTCCCTGAAAGGTGAGGACTGCCTCAGGGAAGGCAATTACAAGGCTAATCTTCTCAGACAAGAGGCTGAGTTGCTTTGCTGGCAAGAAAGGCTTGGTGGAGTTTGGAGGTTCAGGGTACTCAGATTAATAAGCATCTAACCTAAAGGTCCCAGGAGGAGCTCTGGTAGCTTAGTGCCTAAGGGACTTGACTGCTAACCAGAAGGCTGACGGTTCAAACCCACCAGTCACTCCTCAGAAGGAAGATGGGGCAATCTACTTCTGTAGTGATATTGCCTCGGAAACCCAAGGAGGGGTCGCTATGAAACCCAAGGAGGGGTCGCTATGAGTCGGGTCTGACCCGAGGCACATAACAACAACACAAAGGTCCCGGGAGTTCTGGTGGCATGGTGCCTAAGGCATTTGATTGCTAAACAGAAAGCTGGTGGTTCAAACCCACCAGCCCCCCCCCCCCCAATGAAGGCTGAGCAATATACTTCTGTAGTGGTGCTGCCTTGGAAACGCAAGGAGGGGTCGTTATCGTTATGAGTCGGATCTGACTTTTCTTTACTGTTAGGTGCCTTAATTTTAACGAAATGCACCTGGTGATGTTGTGAATTCAGTTGGCATTGTAATTCATCTTCTAGTAAGATCAAACCTTGTGTTTGGTTTTTAGAACTCTCAGCCAGGTGTCTACTGTATTAGGGGAAAACAAAAACCATACCAAACTCACTGCTGACTCATAGCAACCCCTTCTTGGGTTTCTGAGGTGGTATCACTATGGAAGTAGATTGTCCAACTTTCCTTCCAAGGAGTGGCTGGTGCGTATGAACTGCCAGCCTTCTAGTTAGTAGTCAAATACCTTAGGCACTACGCCACCAGAACTCCTGTATTAGGGGAAAAGACCCAAAATTCAAATAGGTTCAATAGAGACATTTTTATTAAGACTTGGACAGAACAAAGACATAACAAAGACAAGTACCCTGGAGGAGGGAGACCATCAGAGTGAGAAAGCTGAATGGAGTCTGCCCAGTGGTGGCCATGTGGCTAATTATATATGATTTTAAATCATCACAAAATCATGATTGGTGGAAAATACATTCATCACCGTTACAGGTGGGACTACAGAAGCTGGAAAAAGACCATGACTGGGATTTGAAGATAGGAAAGGGCTACAGAATTGGTTCTGGGCCTTGACTACTTGGCTGGGTGGTAGTCTGGATAGGCTATAACTCATGACCATGTAGCCTGAGTCTTTAGCCACAAGACATCTACTAAACAATACCAAGACCCCCAACCTTAATTTAAATTAGAAAAAGATACTCTCAGGGAAGTTCCCTAGTTCTTTGTGAGAGTATAATCTGCTTTCAACCATATTCCCTTGAAGGCAAACTGCCCCTCCCTTTGTTTGCCCTGGAACTTGTCTGTGCGTAGCCACAATGCTGGTTTATGGCCAGAAGGAATCCAAAAAGCCTCTGAAGCTTATGTCAAGCCTCAAAATGGAGTTAGGGCTCCCACTGTAGACTGCAGCCTTCTACGACCCCAGTTACTTTAGAATCAGGATTGACTTAACGGCAGTGAGTTTTTTTTTTTTTTTGTGTGTGTGTGTGTGTAGTTGTTGTTGTTGTTATGTGCTGTCGAGTTGAATCCGACTCATAGTGACCCCTCCTTGTGTTTCTGAGGCAGTACCACTAGGAAAGTAGATTGCC